TTGCTATGGATGGTTTTCCCGGTGTGAACTAGGCTGTTCTCACCAGAGAAAGAGCTCAGGGCCTCATTGTTGCTGGGAATAGCAGCTGTTTTCATCAGGGGAGCTCTGAGCTTCACACCATGAGCATCACTTCCTGGCTCCAATGAGGATCCCTCAATTTGGTGGCACAAATCCTTCATCCCACTGGCATAGGTTTTCTGGATTCCACTACTGGCCTATGGGCCTTCCAGCTGCAGAGCCTCACTAATGACAAGCAAGAGACATTGCCATGGGTTCTAGACCATTGGCTGGACACCTGGAGGACATTGCCTTGGACCCTGAGCTTTTAGCTGGACTTATATGGGACATAACTGGGATCCAGGCTCTTGGCTGGATTCTTTGGGCCTCTAGTGTGTGGTTAATCTCCTCCACTATTTGCATTGACTTTTTGGGTAATTATCATAAAATAATCCTATAAGTTATGTGCCCTGTAATTAATGTATTCACTTGCCAAAACCTGACTATAACATGGCCTACGAAAATACTTCATTAAAATTCCCTGTGATAATTTGACAAATTTTTCAAAGAAAATGTATATCAATTTTGGGGAATTTAAGATGTGAAAGTTAATTTGGTCTTGAAATCACAGCATGTAAGTAAGTTCTTTGGCAAAATTTTTAGAAGTTTTTAAAATATATGAATACTAAGAAAGTATCTACAATTTTTCTTTCTTTTCTTTTCATTTCCTTTTCTTTATCTTTTTTCTTTTGTTTTCCTTTGGGAAGGAATCTTGCTATGTTGCTCAGTCTAATCTCTTGGGCTCAAGTAATCCTGCCTCAGCCTCCCAAGTGCTAGAAATATAGGCTTGAGCCACCAAGCCTGACAGCAAGTTTTCTTTCCTTTTCTTTTCTTTTTTTTAAAGTTTTCTTTCATTTGTAGAGAACATTGGGCCAGGGATTTAGCTCAGTGATGCTGCACATGCCTTGCAAGCACAAGGTTCTGAGTTTGACTCCTGGTACAGCAAAAAAACAAAAAAAACAACAACAAAAAAAACCCACTGGCTTACTAAGGCTGAATGTTCAGATGTGTTATGGTGATAATGTGTACTGATAATAGGCATATTAACAGGAAAAAAGATACAAACTTATTAACATGCATGGGGGAATTACAGGAGTGTGACCCCAAGTAACCTAGTCATATTCTATTGTACATGCTGGCCTCAGCTTCCTGAGTGCTAGGGTTACAGGAGTGCTCCACCATAAGCAACAACCATTTTCTTCTTCTTTTTTTTTTTTTTTGGTACCGGGATCGAACTCGGGTCCTTGCACTGGCAAGGCAGGTGGCAGAACCACTGAGCTAAATCCCTCCCCCATTTTCTTCTTTTTTTTTTTTTTGGTACCGGGAGCGAACTCGGGTCCTTGCACTGGCAAGGCAGGTGGCAGAACCACTGAGCTAAATCCCTCCCCCATTTTCTTCTTTTTTTTTTTTTTGGTACCGGGAGCGAACTCGGGTCCTTGCACTGGCAAGGCAGGTGGCAGAACCACTGAGCTAAATCCCTCCCCCATTTTCTTCTTTTTTTTTTTTTTGGTACCGGGAGCGAACTCGGGTCCTTGCACTGGCAAGGCAGGTGGCAGAACCACTGAGCTAAATCCCTCCCCCATTTTCTTCTTTTTTTTTTTTTTTGGTACCGGGATCGAACTCGGGTCCTTGCACTGGCAAGGCAGGTGGCGGAACCACTGAGCTAAATCCCTCACCCATTTTCTTCTTTTGCTGGTTGGTCTTTGGGTGAATAAAAGAGCATCATAGAAAACAGCCCTTTCCAGCATTTGCTGTTGTCAAAGGGTTTTATTTTTTACTTGTTACTTTTTTTTTCCTGCAGTAATGGGGACTGAACCCAGGGCTTTCACACTGAGGTCTATCCCTACCACACCCACATACACACTTTTTTAAAAATTTGAGACAGGGTGTCAATAAGTCACTAAATTGCTCAGGCAGAACTAAAATTATGATCCTCTTGCCTCAGCCTCCCAGAGCACTAGGATTATAGGCATTACTACCACAGTCAGGGTCTTAGTGACTTTTCTTCGTCTTGTTTTGTTTTTTTGGTTTTTTGAGACAGCGTCTGACTATGTAGTTGAGACTGACCTGGAACTCACTGTGTAGCCCAGGCTGGTCTCGAACTCACAGCGATCCTCCTGCCTCTATCCTCCCGAGTGCTGGGATTACAGGTGTGCGCCACCACGCCTGGCATTAGTTACTTTTCTTGTTGCTGAGACAAAATGCCCAACACCCACAAATTAAGGTTTATTTAGCTCACAGTTTGTAGAGGTTTCAGCCCATAATCACCTGGCTCCAAGGCAGGGTGGCATGGCAGACAGGCATTACAGAGAAGAAACAGTTCATGGTGGACAAAAGGAGCAAAACACACAAGAGACGGCCACATCTCTTTCTGCCCTTTATGTCTTATCCAGGCTACTTAGGAAGGCAGCACTCACACACTTAATCCTAGTGCCCTTGAGCCTAGCACTGCACCATGAATCAATCCCAGTGTCACACCCTCTAGATCCAGCCACCTGTGAAAAAACTCCCTCTTTTGACCACATGAGGCTTCGGGGGACATGTAGACACAAGCCATAACACCCAGCTTCCCAGGGCCTTTATTTGAAAGTAACCAGCATACCAAGGTGTCATATTTTAGAGTGAAATCCCCTCCAGTGACATAAATCTTTTTTTTTCAGTAATAGGGATAGAACCCTTTTGTACATTTGCTAAGCATGTGTTCTACCACACAGTTACATTACCAGCTTAATATAACCCAGAGTTAACACTAAGAAAAAAGAAAAATGTAATGAATGTACACACACAAAGAAAAAGAAAATGGCAGTTAAAATGCATAATTTTAATGCATGATCTTGTTCTCCAGTCCTCCTCTGCAAGCCAAGAGAGCCTAGCTTCTTTCTCCTGCATCTGGCTAGTTATCTCAAATTAAATAAGGCCCCCCTGGACTGGGGATTTAGCTCAGTGGTTCCACCATCTGCCTGGTAAGCCTGAAGTCCAGAGTTCAATGCCTGGTACCAAAGATAAATAAATAAATAAATAAATAAGGCCCCCTTGAGATGTGCAAGGTCCTGGTTCTTCAGGGTTTCCCAAAGTGTCCGTAAAGACACTCAAGATATAAAATCATTTTTAAAAAGATATAAAATCTTGAATCTTTCCATGGGCCCCCGGAAAACATCATAGCTATCTTTCAATATCCCAATACATATACAGCTCATATGACACTGATAAAGTGGACTCCAGAATCTATGTACCTGTATTACTATTCCCCATCACAGCATAAGCAAGGTGTATAGCTCAAAAACAAATCTCAAATGCAGGGAAGGCCAGTGTGTTGGCACACACCTATAATCTCAGCACTCAGGAGGCTGAGGTAGGAGGATTACCCAGAGTTCCAGGTTGGCCTGGAAAAACAAAAAACAAGCCAAAAAATATATAGATACAGGGAAAACTTGAGAACTCAGCTGGTCCAGACATTCATACAATTTGGGGTGGGGGTAGGATCTCACTTCATAGTTCAGGCTAACCTTGAACTGACCTTGAGCTCACAGTGATCCTCCTGCCTTAGCCTATAGAGTGGTGCTATTACATACATGCGCCACCATGCCCAGGTCTCCCAGATGAGTTTTAAGCACTCCCTACAATACTGCTCTACTCCACAGCAGCTTGTTTCTGCTTGGGGGAAAAAAAAGTATAGCTGCTAGAAAAATGGAATTAAATTTTTTTTTCTAAGATTTGGAAATCTACCCCAATTCTCACCACTTGGTAATCTACAGAATAGAGTGAATCCTTCCATCCCAACATCTGAGAGACTGAGACAGGACGACTGCAAGTTCAAGGATAGCTTGAACTATATAGTTAAGCCTTGTCTCAAAAAAACAAAAAACCAACTGGACGTGGTGGCACATGCCTGTAATCCCAGCACTTGGGAGGCTGCAGCAGGAGGATTGCTGCAAGTTCGAGATCAGCCTGGACTACATAGTGAGTTCCAGGTCAGTCTCAACTACATAGTGAGACCCTGACTAAAAACAAACAAACAAACAAACAAACATTGAGGACCAGGGATGTAGTTCAGAGGTATAGAGCTTGCCTAGCATATACAAGCACATTAAAAAAGCTAAATAGGGGCTGGGGATTTAGCTCAGTGGTGCTGCCGCCTGCCCCGCAAGTGTAAGGTCCTGAGTTCAATCCCCAGTACCAAAAA